CCCTGCCACCGTGCGGAGTGCTGGGTCCCGCCCGACCCCAAGCTGCAGCCCCTGGGAGCCGAGCCTGCCACCCTGTGGCTCCATCGGAGCTCTCCTCCCGGTGCTTCCAGCTCCTTCCTTCTAGAACCACACCTGTGGTTCTAGAACAGAGTTAGGACCCGCCTCTCCACCGATTGTCCTGCACCCTGAACACGTGTCGGTCAGAACAGCCCTCTCTCAAAGCCCTGAGCAGGCACGGCCTCGCCCTCGACCCTGGTGGGGAGCAGCCGTGCTTGGTTAACACGCGCAAACGAGGCTTCAGCGCGGACCAGCAGACTCGGGTGTCTGCTTTGGGCCTGTCCTGCCCCTCACAGATCTACGAATCGGAGCCCTAAGTTCATTTGTCTCAAACACGCCCCGTGACACTTCAAACCCCAACATGGCTTAAAATGAAGAGACCAGCCCTCGTGTCCCACAGAAGCGGTTCCCGGGCTTCGTGTCCAGGTGGCCGCGGGGCAAAGCCAGGGTGTGTCTGAAACCTGCTGGGAAGCGTCCCGTCTCCCTTGTGCCGGCCTGCGCTCCCTCTTCCTGCCGGGCCCCCAGAGACCCAGGGAGGCCGGCCCGTCCCACCCCGCCCGCGGCCCAGCATGCTTCCATTCTCCCGAGTGGTAGGCAAGTAGACAGCAGGCCTCCGGGGTGCCGCTGAGAAATGGGTGGGATTTGTACCGCGTCATCAGCATACACACCTGTTTACTTCCCCGCCACGTGAAAGAAAACACGTTTCAGAAAACCCCTCCTAGCCGTTGGAGCAGTGCGTCCCCTGAGTGGGTTAGTGACGGGGAGTTTGCACTAACCACTCTCCGTTCTGGGTGAACTAACACTTTCTCATATGGTTGACTCAAAATACAGCAAGAATAGGACGAAGAGAACTGCCTTTGCAAAAAATAACTCAAGAAATAAGTAGTGGGGAGAAAGAACGTAAACCTTCATCAGACAGAGCAGAACACAGACGCCGAGGGAACTGGGACGCGACCCCTCCTGGCTTCACAGACCGCGGCCGCGACCTGGTCCCTCCTCCAGGCGAGCCGCTCCGTAACACGAGCAGTGATGAGAAACGCTGATCGAGGAGCCATTCTCTTCCCTCTAATCAGCACTTGCAAAAAACATGTATGTAATATTTTCCATATATCGTAACTTCAAAAAGATTCATAAAAATATTTCACTTTAGTGATTGAACGGTTGGATGCGTTCAAGACCGGTTAGCCTTGCTGGTTACAGAAGGAGCAGGCGTTTCTGTCGAAGTGAGCCCTGCTTCGCGGCTACAAAGAGCTTTGCAGAGTTAGAGGCTATTAAGGAACTGAAAACAGGACAGGCAATTCTGAAGGAAGCGTAGGATCCCTTGGCCATTTATAAATAAAAATGTAAATTTGGAACAAGAATTAATAATTTTCACTATGAATATGTTGTGGATATTTATTTCTCTTATTTTCATATTTCAAAATATTTTAATTTAAAAGAAATGTGTCTATAAATTTGGCATCAGAATACACATGTAAATACCTTTAATGAAAATTTTTAACTTTTTAATGTTTTAATATAGTTTTCTATTTGTCTTTATTTCAGGCACCAGAATTATAGTATCTAACCCATATATTTTTGTTGTTATTTCAGGGCCTAGGGGTCAGTTTACTCTGAGCATGTTAACACAATAAAAAGGTCACAAAACATCCTGTCGCTTTTATTTCAAGATTGTAACTAAAAGGTGAACGAGTCACATGCACTCTGGCCCACACCGGGCATGGCTGGGGCGGGTTGGGGC